CAGGGCAAAGACACTGAAGCAGTGTCACTGCAGGCTCCATGACTCCCTTTGAACTGGGAAGAAGTGGCTCAGGGCTCTCCCTTCCCCGAAGCCAACCATCAGACCTCAGGCTGTCACTTCCATCTCCTATAATCCGGCTTTAGTTTTATTTAAAAAGTTTTAAAATTTGGTTTGCTTCACTGACCTCCGTGTGTTTTGTATGTTGGTCCCTCTCCCTGGAGCGCTCCAGGGAGTGTTGGAGGCTGTGGCTCAGTTGGTAGAGTCCTAGCCAATGAATGAAAGCATCAGGTATTGAGTTTGAGTTCTGGTCTTGGGCCTAAAAAAAAGAAAAGAAGAAAAGAAGGAACAAATGTGCATATGAATGAAGCTGTTCAGGCGAGCTAAAAGCAAAGACTTGAGCCAGCCTGCTGGGCTCCACTCTGCCTCTGCTCCCTGCAGGCTGTGTGATCACAGGCAGTTGACTTAACTTCTCTGGCCCTAGAGGAGCATGCAGGTTGCTGTCTGTCCATTTCCATCAAGCAGTAATTGTGTCTCCAGCTGACTTTACACTTGGAAGAATATCAGAAGCGAAAACATCAGGGATTGTTGCACTGGGTTGACTTCAGGACGCCCTGGAGCCTCTGCTCCTTTGTCTGGCCTGCTTTCCCACCTGTGGCAGGAAGTGAGCCTGTGGAGAGGGGAACTGGCCAGGCTTGGGGACAAGAAGACAGCGAAGCAGTACAGAGAGCGCCCGGGCCATCTGTATTCATGGGATAGTCTCACCTCACTGGATCTGTGAAGACATGTTTGGGGCTTTTCTGTCTACCTTTAGTTTTTCATTTCTGTTTCCTAGAATTTTCTGGTGGTGTTTTATGACAGCAGAAGCCCATGGTGGATGGGAGCTGAGCACTGGCCTGGCTCAGCTCTGCAGGTAGCTCAGAAGGACTCAGAGAAAAGATGAAAACCACGATTTCTAAAGGCCTGGAAGCTTCCATGTGGCACCCTTCAGAATTCCTTGCCAGCCTCCCCTAAACCCAGCCACCAGCCTCTGTGACGGGCACCTCACTGAAGGTCTGGGCTGGCCTTCCTTGCCCCCTTCCCTGCCCCACGTGCAGCTAGCCCGTGAGTCTGGTATCTTCTTTCTGATTCCTCTCCATCCCTTACCTCTTGCCTGCCTGGTCTCCCAGCCTCCATGCTCGTAAACCAGGGTCACCTCTCTCACTTCTTGCTAGCTGCGTTCCTCCACAGCAATCCGCTGCGGATTCAACCCCAGCGCTGCTTCCACTACAGGATCGGGCCCACTGCTGTTGAGGGCTGGTCAGGTTATCAGACCCAATAAGCCTTGGTGCAACTACAGGCAGGGGTACTCTCCTTCCCACATCACAAATGAGAAGACAGAGGCTGGCTCAAAGAGGGCAGTGGCCTGTCTGAGGTTCCCCAGCTAGGATACAGCAGGAAAGAGGCAGGTGTATCAGCTGCTCAAGCCCCTGCTCTTTCCCATTACCAAGCTGTTAGAGAGCCCAGGATCGAGTCTAGAGGTCATGAATGTCACCTACAGCTACTGCCAGTGCTGGCGCTGGTGCATCAGCCCGGGCCTCCCTCGCATCCAGTGTAACAGGAGTCTGTCCAGACCAGGTCCTCCAGAAAGTTTCCCCACCCCCTTCCGCCTAAGGGTCCCCAGCTCAAACGCTCCCTGCTGGTCATTTCAGGTACTCTTTCTGGAGAGCTAAAGAGGAGTTAGGCTCTGCTCTAGAAGCCCACTTTAGAGAAGGAAAAGTGAGCAACAGCTCACATAAACATGGCTCCAAGAGTAAGGGAGCTTAAGAGGGGCAGAGGGAGCTTGAACACATGTGATCTGGGCCTGGGAGTGGATGTCTAGCGGCATTCCGACACACTGCTCTTTCTCTCTCCCTTGCTAGGAAGGCACAGCCCCCTGTGAAGAACATCATCCCATGCTGTTGGTGACAATGGGCTGGGAAGGTGGCTCAGTAGTAGAGCGCTTGCCTTGCATGCATGAGGCCCTGGGTTCGATTCCCCAGCACCACATAAGCAAAAGAAAAAAAAGCCAGAAGTAGTGCTGTGGCTCAAGTGGTAGAGCGCTAGCCTTGAGCTGAAAAGCTGAGGGACAGCGCCCAGGCCCAGAGTTCAGGCCCCACAACCGGACCCCCCCCCCAAAAAAAAAGTTGGTGACAATGCCTTCTGCACACACATGCATCCACACCTTCCCTCTGCAAGGGTGTGGCTTTCCAACCTCTTTCCATGTGAAGGTCCCAAGTGAGCACCACTGCCACCCCTAGACTTGTCCCCTGCCCAGCAGGATGAGTAGCCAAGAAGCATAGTCCCCACACAGACCACCGTGTGCCTGGTGCCATGGACTCCTATCTACTCATAAACCTCATGGAAAGATTCTGCGTGTTACCACACTCTGGGCTGTAAAATGTATCTTAAAATTAAAGTAAAAACCATAACATAGCCGGACACCTGTGGCTCACGCCTGTCATCCTAGCTACTCAGGAGGCTGAGATCTGAGGATCGCAGTTCAAAGCCAGCCCAGGCAAGAAAAGTATGTGAGACTCTTATTTCCAATTAACCACCAGAAAACTGGAAGTGGCACTGTGGCTCAAGTGGTACAGTGCTTACCTGGAGCTGAAGAGCTCAGGGATAGCGCCCAGGCCCAGAGTTCAAGCCCTATGACCAACAACAACAATGAAAAATACCATGTCTGTTCTCAGTTCAAAATAGAACTAAACTAAAAATCAAGAAAGGAAATCTCACATACTGATGTTTCTTGCATTTATATTTTCATGACCAAATGCCTAAGGTGAACAACTAAAGGGGCCTTTGCACATGCTGCTCTGCCCCCTTATCCTTTTTATGCTCTAGGCACAGATGATGCCACCTGCCAGAGGCCCTCTCCACCCTAGACCATCTTAGGTGCGAAACAATGTAAAGCTGTCAGCTGGGAGAGGAGGTGCGATGGTGTAGTGGTTGGTAGCTACGTGCTGGAGTGGCCTTCAAGGCATGCAGGGAACCTCTGGCTAGGTGACAAGCCAATGACACTGTCTCTATGCTCACATATGGCCGAGCTGGAGGATGTGGGACTGGTCTCAGGAATCACCAGTTCAGGGCATGTTGGCTGTGGCCCAGGAGCATGGGGATGAGAGAACCTCTGGCAGGGTGCCGAGGGTTAGAGCCAGAGTTGAGGCTCCCAGAACAGGGTTTCCAGCCTCCATGGAGCCAAGGACCTAGGAAGAAAAAAAGAGAGATCAAAGTCTCTTCCTCAGAAAAGGCCTCATTGGCCATGTGAGCCTAGCAAGAACAAAAGGAATGTGCTCTTTATGTGTGTGGTTAGATGGATGGCTCTCAAGGGTGCCACGCTCAAGGGTGTGCATTTTAGCTGGGTAGGGTGCTTCAAGCCTGCAACCCTCACTACTTGGATGGTAGAGAGGGGGGGATTGTGGTTCGAGACCATTCTAGACAAAAAGTAAATGAGACTTCATCTTAGCTTGTGGCTGGGGCATAGTGATGCCTGCCTGTCATCTCCAGCAACATGGGAAAGTACAAATAGGAAGATTGCAGCCCAGTCTGGCCTAGGCATAAAGCAAGACTCTACCTTGAAAACAACCAATGCAAAAAGAGGCTGGAGGGGTAGCTTAAGTAAAGGTCAAGCCCCAGTACCGAAAAGAGGGAGGGGGGAGAAAAGAAAGGAGAAAGGAAGGAGGGAAAGGAAGAAAGAAAATAACAAAGGATAAAAAGAGAAGTATACGTATTATATACTGCCATTTTTTAATGGTACCGGTCCTAGGGCTTGAACTCAGGGTCTTGGGCACTGTCTCTGAGCTTCTTTATGTATTTTACCACTTGAAGCACAGTTCTACTTTCAGCCCATCTTTTTGGTAGTTTATTGGAGATTAGAATCTCATGGGCTTTCCTGCCCAAGGATAGCTTCAAACCAGGATCCTCAGATCTAGACTCCTGAGAGGTGTGAACAACCAGAGCCTGGTCATTCTCTTAAGATAGTCTCATTCTAATCTCAATTTGACCTCTATGAAGTGGCATAGTAGTCAGCCACTCTGACCTTAAACTTGAGCTCTTCCTGAATCTTCTGAGTGGTAGAATTATAGCTGCGTTCAACCACACCTGTTTCCTATAGCCCCATTTATAGAGTATTCTTCTTTTGAGGAATTCTTACCTTGAGGAATTGACAATGCAACCACTGCTTTCAAACAGCTTGCACAGGACTTCTCATAAGGCCCAGTGAATTCTAGATGATCTTATTGAGGGGAGACTACTTCCTCTGGTGGTCAGTAGAAGGTCTGTGATTGGTGCACTTTCATTTGTATGAAGGCCTGTGATTGGTGTGAATACCATCACCCAACTCCTTCATTGCTAGGTAAACAGATTACAACACCTTTTCTAAGAACCTCAAAGATGTGTCCAGACACAAAATAATAACTACATAAACTAAGTGCTTCTTCGATGTTACTATCTAAAATTCATGTCAAAGTTTGTATATGCAAGAGACTTGTGGACAGGGTGAAAGAACAAAATCCTAATAACATTCTTTCACACAAATGGCCTCTCCACTGATACATCGATGTTACAGTAGCTGAGGTTAGTTTTTCACATCAGGCACAGATGGTACTTCCAAGCTAGCTTTATCTCACTCCCAAGATATGAACAACATGCCTATTTTAAAGCAAATTGGGACATAACTGAAATATTTCTCAGGAAAGTTTTTCCAGTAAAACTAAAAACCTTATCTAGTACTTCAGTTACAGACCCAGCAAGGATAACGATACAGACTTGTTCCCTACGGATAAACCAAAACTACGGGGTTATGTTGCCAAATACAACTTCATAATTCATTGTAAACAACAACAACAACAAAAAAATCAACGTTTCCTTGGAATTCGTCTAATTTTCTTTCATTTACAATCCACGCTATGGAAAGTTAAAAAGACTGCTACATAATGAACCCTTTTTACTGTAAAAGTAGGCTATAGAAGACAGAATCACAATTATGATTAATAAGGCTTTAATGGCTTGGTAATTTTTCTCACAGTAATAAATATATAAATCTTGAAAAGATAACACTGTTAGTTGAGTAGGAAAATCCGCAAAGAACAGCGCTATTGTAGAGGACAAGTTCATTCATGTGGCTTCCCATCCCCCACCCAGCAGCCTTCAAGTTAGAATTGGAAGACCGCACTTTGTATCAGGATCAAGGAAGCGAAGTGGTCTGCAGAAAATGAATTAAAATTCCATACGGCAACATCATATATGAAGTAATACGATCTTCAATTAATGCTTCAGGCTCTTGTTGGGGGTTCTCGTGCAGTTTAACTCAGAGTTGGGGTCTGTCGTTGCAACCCGGGAAGTGGTCTTCGGTCCGAAACAGGGCGGGTGGCTCATAGGCCGCGTGCTGAGGCCGGGCGGGGGACGCCCGGTTAAAGAGGGCGGGCACGTGCATGGCGTGCAGAAGCTTCGTGAAGGCCTTGGGGAAGGCGCCCAGGTCGGCCTCCGCCTTGGCCACGTGCTCCTCCATGCGGGCCACGCTGCGGCCCACCATCCTCACGAAGGCCTCGAGCTTGTCGATCCGGCCGTAGACGCGCCGCATCTCCGCGGCCCTGGCGTGGATGCGCGGCACGCCCTCGCTCACCACGTGCGACGAGTCGCCGCGGATCATGTCCAGCATGCCCGCGAACTCGTCCACTCTGGAGAGCAGGTCTTCGAGGCTGGCGTCCAGGGCCTCCACCTCGGGCCGCGCGCCGGCGCCGGCGCCGGGCAGC